AGCTGACCCAGGCTGAACTCTGCTCCTCATGTCTCTCATCCGCCTGGGACCAGGACACTAGTCAGGACGTATCTCCTCACGACAGTGTTAGAAGCACCAGAGGGCGAACAAAAAGCACATAAGGCTTCTGAGGCCTGGGCTCAGAACTGGCACACTGCCACTTGCTCCCACATGCCATGGCCAAAGCATGCCATATGGCCCAGCAACACCAAGAGCAGGAAAATACATGCCTTCCATATCAAAGGTATGGATGCAAGGAGGAGTGCAGAATTGGGACCAAATTCACCCTGCACCGCCTCTTCCAAAGGCCGACACCCCATGCAATTCTGACTTTAATAAAAGGAGCATGGGAGAGATGGCTGATGGTTGTCATTGTCACAACCCATCATAGATCTTTTCCCTAGTCAATAATTATTTAATGCTGTTAATGAGTTGGCAATGTTTCCACCATGTCATGCGGGCCCATCTTGGTGCTGAGTGCTTTGGGGGACATCAGAAAGAAAAGACCCGATTCTACTCAGGAGCTCACAATCCTTTGAGGGATAAACTTGTGTTCAAAGACAAGATGGTGGCAAGATCGTGCTCAGTTGTGTCTTAAAGATTGTGGAGTTCAGAAAAAAGGTTAGACCAGCAAAGACCAGGAAAGAATGAGATAGGAGAGGAATCATACTAAACACCTAGTGAGTACTTCCTGCATGCCAGAACACTGTGCCAATTTTTTCTCATGCTTTATTCCCATGACCATCCAGAGCGGTACCAGGATCACCCCCATTTAACACATGAAAAAAAAAAAAACAGAGGCACAAACAGCTCCAGTGACTTGCACATGGCCACCTCTCTAATACTGGAACCAGGATTTGTGTCCAGCCCTTCCTGCAACCAGAGCCTGAGTGTTCATCACCAGGGCCCATGGCCAGCCACACAAGGGGAAGGGGAGCAGCAAAAATAGACAGATGTGCAAAGAGGACAGCTGCTGCCAGGGGGTGGGCTCAATGGAGGGGACCCCAGCCATGTTGTGAACTATAAATGGGAGCAAAGAGAGGATGTGCGATTTGGCCAAGGTCCTGCAGCAAGATAGGGTGGAGGCTGGGCTGGAAATTCTGGCTGTTGGCTCTCCTTCCACTTTCCCTGGTACCAGCCGCATTCTGGGCTCTCTCCACCCGTCTGTGCGGCCACGCCTGAAGCGTTTCCCTCTTGGAAGAGGTGCAATCCACTGGCATTGAAGCCGGGTGGACTGGCTCCCTCTCTCTATCCATCTCTTTCCTCCTTTCCCCTGCCATGTTCTGGAAAGGGCAGCGTGAGGGAATGTGGGCAGGTTGCACCAGAGCTATACATCTGAGAACTGAAGGAACATTTATTTTTAATTTAGACTTAAAAAGAAAAAAGGAAGTTATAAAATATCTGTTCTTGCTCCTGGGATTGTGCAGATGGTGCTGCACGTTGCCTAATAGGGAATGGGGCTGGCACCGCGTGCTCCTGGCCCCACCAGCCTGACTGTAGGACCCAGAAGGTGGGCTCCCTATTCCCTTTGCCACAGCCTTAAATGGCTCCCTCAGGCCCTTTTGGCAAATGCAGTACTGGGTTCCGCTGCCTTCTAACCTCACCCTTCCCGGCCTCCAGTCTGCTGATTTCCCAAACCTCCTCCTTCAGTGAGGCCAGTCTCTCAGCTCTTCTTGCTCCTGTGAGCTCACACACGCGCGTGTACACATGCACTCACACACGCACACCTCAGCACCATCTTACCGCCTCCTTTGGCAGATAGCCAGAGCACACCGACTTCTCACTTACTGAACTCCTCTTTGGATGTTAGAATTTATCAACTTTACACACATCCAAGTACCTGATTAAGCCATCTTGTCATTTTCATGCCCAGGTGTTATAAAGGATGCTCTCATACATTTTCCTGTTTGGTCTTCATGTTTATTGTGGTTCAGTACTCTAGTCCTCTCCTCTGGTATTCTCCGTTAGGCAGCATGGCGCTTTGCGCATAAAGGATGCTCAAAAATGGGCATGGAGTCTGATGCTTCCTTTGTGCTCAAGAGGATGAGCTGGACAGGAAGCCCCTAAAATCAGAGAGTCAGGGCCCCCAAGCTAGGAATCAGGAGACCTGACCCTTTTCTAGTTTGCTATGAAGACAGGGGCAGATCACTGAATTTATCTAAACCTCAGATTCCCCATTTGCAAAATATAGAAAGTAATCTCTGTGTTGTCTGAACCCCAGCGTTGTAATAAGCATCATGGTAAGAGACATAAAGGAAAATGCTTAGCAAAATCAATCAAGCAAGCAAGCAAGCAAGCAAGCAAGCAAGTAAGCAAGCAAGCAATCCCTTTAAGAAAGCATAAGGAGTCAGAGGTGGCCAGCAGGGACGTCAGGCCCATGTTAGGGCAGAACTTGGGACAGGAGGCTGGTCAGGGCTGGCAAACACGGTAAAGAACTCACTGGTGACAAGCCGTGTGTGTGTGTGTGTGTGTGTGTGTGTGTGTGTGTGTTACATAGCCTGGGTACTAGTTTAGTTGAGGGCTATGGTTCGCTCTGGAAAAGATTGATATCACAGTTAAAGAAGGCATGGCATAAGATAAAACAAATGAAGATGAAAATGAGACAAGAGGAAGTTTAGGGAAGAGAAGAGAAGGTCAACAGTGAAATTTGGACACAAAGTACAGGCCATGAGGATGTGTACTCTTGGCAGATGCGGGCCGTGGAGATCTGGCTTAACCTTGACAGTCGGTGCAAATAGAGACACAGTTAGATGCCCAGTGTTTGCAAGACTGATGCCAACTGGATGCTCAAAAGTACAATTCCTGACCCCCAGAGGATTTATAAGGGGACCCTGTGATGTAATAAGCATTGAGTATCCTGAATGACCGCTGTCCGGTAAATACAGTGAGTCCCATGGGGCTGCATCTTACGATGCTCCTGGTGGCCCAAGGACAGTTCAGGGCATGCAATGGGAATTGAAGGGGAGACAACAATGTCATCTATGACACACCGTGTAATATAAACTGACAGGTTAGGGGGAATGATATGCTCCCAACAATGGAGAACTACTTTCATTTCCTCAGGCTTTGGAAGGCAGTCAGTCATGCACATGTGTACACATATGTGCACACACCCTGGCTCACGCTGTCTGTTCCCAGCTGCAGGCCTCTCTTGGCCCCGCTTCCTCTCTATGGTCTGGCTCCTGACTGGGGACTGTCTAGAGGGGGTCCTGGGTTTTCCTCAATACTTCTCCACTGGGTAGGGGTGGGGCTTTCCCTTTACAGACAATGGGGCTATCTCTATTGACTTCACACATACTAGTTGGAACCTGAGAATAAAATGTAAACCGAGATAGGCCCTCCAAGGTCAACCCCTTCACTCTATAGGTAAGAAAGCTAAAGCCCCCAAAAGGGACTGTCTTCTGCTGGAGATCACAGAGGGACAGAGCTGAGGCTACGACCCAAGGTCTCCTGATTCCCACTACTGTACCCTGAGCTGTCATTGTAAAGGAAGATCAGGTTGGGATATCATTTTTTGGGGAAAAATATCGTAAGATAATTCCTCACTGGAGCTATGAAATGGCTTTACATTATATAATTTTATTCAAACTGATATGGGCCAATAAATATAAATGTGTGTACGTGTTCTCTGTTTTAAAACATTTTAATGTTTAAAACATGATTTACTAATGCTGCTGAGGATGTCTCGAATTTGATTTACTGCATAGAATTGAATGTTTATACTTGTTCCTTACAGAAATTCTTGCCAAAGAGCCATTTTATCTACAGGAATAATAAATAAGTCAATATGTAGATGGTTGTGCACATTTTTCCCATATGCAGCAGTACTTGGTAGATGTTAGTTTGCACATAAGCACTCAAAAGTTAAACTTGGGAAACACACATGGATCCTTGAAGTCCAAGGTTGGTCAGTATCAAGATCAGACAATTAATCTTGACTTAAACCAAAAAACAAAGTCAGTGAGTCTAGGTCTTAGGTGGTATTTGGGCTTTGGGAATAATGGATCCACACCTGTGTAACCATACTTAGCTATATGGATGTATTTGCTCATTCACTCATTCATTCATTCATTCATTCATTCACACATTCAACAAATTTTTTTTTAAATAGACTTTAAAAAAAATTTTTTTTTCTTTTTTTATTGGGAAGCAGTGTGTTTTTCCAGGACCCATCAGCTCCAAGTCAAGTAGTTGTTTCAATCTAGTTGTAGAGGGTGTGGGGAAATGAACCAGCAACCTTGGTGTTATGAGTACTTCACTCTAACTAACTGAGCTAACTGGCCGCCCCACATACAACAAATTTTTATTAGGTAAATATGTTCCACAGCTTAAATATGGCATAGGTTTTGCTTCATGAGGGCTCAGAGATAACAGATATAAACTCCCCCAACTTGTGTTTGTAAAGCGCTTAAGCCCTTTGACATGGTTTTTATTTAATCCTCACAAAAAATCCTATTGGATGGCTGAAGTGTGAAGGAGCCCTGGGTTAGCCGAGTGGAAGTGAAGGTGTTCCTTTGGTTTGCTTGTTTGTTTTTATTGTTCCCCTGCCCACCAATTGTGGAAATAATGCATGTCCACTGTTCAAAAGAATACAGAAATATTCCAGAAGAATGTGAGACAGTACTGTGTAACCCAACCTCCAGAGACGCCTACATGCTATGCTATAGACTCTTTCACGCTTGGAGATATGTATGTGTATGTGTATATGGTTATATATAAGATGAGATTTTTTTTTTTACAAAAATGAGATTATGCTGTGATATAACTTTATAATTGGGTTTTTGCATTGTACACTACCTGTGGGCAGCAGTTTGTAAGTACTACTTATCGTCCACATCAGTTTGTATGGATCGAGCTTGCGCCTGTAATTTTTCTTTGCAAAAGTGTAGGACATTTCTTTTGTCTTCTTCAGCCTTTCTTCTCTCTCTCCCTCACCCTTTCCCTTTCCCTCTCCCCCGCCCCTCCCCTTCCTTTACCTCCTCCCTCTCTCTCTCTTGTAGGTGGTCGGTCTTCTCTTGCCCAACCAGACCCTGGCGTCCACTGTCTTCTGGCAGGTAACAGTCTCTGGGCAGAGAGGCTGCTGGGGGAGGGTCCAAGCGCTGAGTAGAACTCGCTGCCCCGGCGTCTCCTCTCCCATCCAGGCCCCTCGGGGAAAGTCACTCCACTTCCTACCTCTCCCCATCCCAGAAACCCCAGGACTTTGGGCCCTGCTGAGCAGGTCCCCAGCAGCCCACACCGTAAGCCAGTGTGTGTCATTTAACCTTTGCACGGAGGTGATGAGGACTGAGCTGCGGCCCTTACCTGGATGGCTCGTTGGTGGCCACCCACTCTGCCCCTTGGCTGCTTGTCCAGTGGCCAGTGACCTTGAGGCCCACAGCCTCTTTGACATCAGCCTCACCCAAATCTGTGGGAAAGGTAAATCCACCCCAATACCAAGGTAATGAGGTGGGTGAAAAGGCATCATAGACCCAGGTCTCTGCTCTTGGAGAGAGTCTGAGCTATGGCTCTCTGACAACAGTGGAAGCTCTGTGTGTGTCTGTCAGTCTTCCCGGAACAGAACTCCAACAGTGCCTGTGTCTGGGCACTGCAGACACTGGGCTGGGATGTTTTTGAAAGGGGTTCAGGGCTGTCAGTCATTCCAGGGGCCTAATGTTCACCTTCTTCCCAGTAAGTAATAAGGATGGTGTAGCAAAGGGGGGGGGGCGTTTGGGGCAGTGAGCACCATAATTCCGGAAGAGGTGTCTGGGTCGCGACGGACTGCTGGGGTCAGCGGGCCAGGGTCCTGGTTTGCCAGGAACTGAGAGGTTTCCAAGGACTGGGGACATCCAGTGCTAAAACTTGCACAGTCCCAGGCAAACCAGGACAGTTGGTCATGCTAACGAATGGGCTGGATGGACCCACCATGATCTAGTGACCCACGCCCTTCTGGAAGGATGTGGCCTCCCGGGCCCAGGCCTGGCTTCCAGGTAGATGACCACACCTTCCCCAACTTCTGTCCCCTGTTGCCTTTCAGTGGCTGAACCAGAGCCACAACGCCTGTGTCAACTATGCAAACCGAAATGCTACCAAGGTAAGAGCCGTGGACCACCGCCCAGGTGTGGCCTTCAGGCCAGGGTAACCGTCATCCTCCCTACAGTGTGTCACGCCACTCATCAGGTTGAGCATTGCCCTCCTGTAGGCACCTTATTTCAAGAGGGGGCCTGTTGGGGAGGGACTTTTCCCAGGAAGTGAAGAAGGCCCACAAAACGGGAGTGTCGTGTGGGTGGTTAAAGGGATGAGCTCCCCTGGCTTCAGAATTCTCCGTGGGGAGCTCTTCTACCTGATATTGGCTAGGACAGTGTCAGCCATGTAGGAACTGAATTTCCCTAAAGTTTTCTCCAGGCTTGCCTGGAAGCTGCCTTGGTGCCCCAGGCTGTTGGCTGAAAAGCTGAAGGGCTGCTCCTGAAGGGTGAGGGGTCTGGCACCTTCTCTCCAGTCCCCTGCACTCCTGGGATGAGCTTACAGTGGAGGCCCAGTAACCCTTCTGTTGTCCAGGAAGGGGCTGGGCCCCCGCTTCCCTGGCAAGACAGACTCTCCTCCTGGGCAGTTCTCTCGCACTTCGGTCCAAAGGCAGGAAGAGGCGAGGAGGAGTCGAGGTGCCCTTGGGAGGCTGTCAGTTTGAGGAGGAGAAGGTCTGGGCATTTTCTAACCTTGCGGGCTGGCCTGGGGGTAGGCATTTCAGGGCCTGATACTCTGAGGATGCCCCATCCCCCCCGTCTAAACCTTCAGTCCACGTCTTGCTCGTAGGCTTCACACACATACACTTCTACTTGGATGGCTCCTGTTTACCATGAACCAAATATCTCCAAAATTGCCACTGTCGAATAGTTAAAGGCAAGTTCTCAGCTCTTCCTTAATTTTCTACTTAATTGCAACTTGGTGTACATGTTTCCATAGAAATATTGAGCAGCTATCATCTATTGACATGGAAACGTGGTTGCTGCCTGGGTTTACAAGGCCTGAGAGAGCCAGCCAGGCTGTAGCCGACCTTGACACCGCCACTTCTACCTGGAAAATGCTCCCGGTGCCAGACAGCCCATTTGCAACACATAGTCTTCCTAAAGCGGATCTGCTTGTCCCGGCCATAAATGACCCATTTGGTCCTTGCTGGTGGTCTCTACCTTCAGCCAACAGTGTCTGCCAGTGATCTTTCTAGAACAGGGCAGAGTGCAGTGGGCCCTTTGGCATCTCCCTGGGCATTGCTGCCTCGTATTTCCACGTTTGGAACTGCGCTGATGACGGCCCGGATCCCTTTGGCTTCCAATAGGGACCTCTTCCTTCTCGCCCCACCCTCTGGGTTGGAGGACAGAAATACCCCTTGCTGGCTGGGGCTGTTTGCAAGGGTGGAGTGTGGGAGCCAGTGGGCCCAAATTCTGTCTCTTTCCTCCAGCCTTCACCTGCATCCAAGTTCATCCAGGGCTACCTAGGAGCTGTCATCAGTGCTGTCTCCATCGCTGTGAGTAACCCCCCGAGTCCCTTCACTTCTTCTCTGTCCTGCTGCTCTTCAGCTGCCCCATCCAGCATCTTGGGCCAGACCTTCTCTGAGGATCAGACCCGGCCAAGGGGTGTGGGAGACGGGTTTCTGTGGGTGGGCCGCTTTCTAGGCAGAGAAGAGAATAGATCCTGGTGACGCTGTAACAGAGCATAAACTGGTGCTCCAGTTTTCGGAGAGCAGATAGGAGGTAAGGTGGTGCTCATGGGTGATGTGAAGGATTGCTCACTGCAGCCGAGGGCAGAACATCTGTCCCTAAAGGGCCCTGTGTTTACCTGGCACTTCTCAGAGAAGCTGGTTGGCACGCTCAGTCATGCGGCTGATGCAGGATGTTAGGGGCTTGAGAGCAATCTGCAAGGTTGGCCCAAATGCCAGCTCTTCTTTGCTCTTTGCCTGAGCTCCCAGGACACTTTTGTACCTTCTTGGTAGCCTTGGTCATGTGGTCACATGTCCAGTCCCTCCTCAAGACAGGGACAATAGGCTCATTTTGAGTCACACAGGACTTTGAGAATAGAGCAGCTATTAAGTAAGGGAGGTTTGTAGACTGACTATGTGAGTGTAAGGAAGGATCCCAGATGAGGGGCGAGGACAGGTGACACAATAAGGGGCCTAGGCCAGAGCCAGAGCAGAAGCTCAAGCCCCTGAGCCCTTGGTTATGCTTGTCCCACCCTCAAGCCCACCCTTGCTCCCCCATCTAGTACTCTCTAGAACCCCAGCTGGGTGGTCTCCTACAGCTGACTCCAGGGGCAAAAGTCACATCACAACTTGGTTATTTTATTCATTACACAATAACTACATGTGATTAGTAAGAAAAGATTAGAAAATTCAAATTAAAAAACATTCACGTATAATAATTTTTTTTGTAAAACTCACTTTCCTCATCTTTCCTGTGTCATTAAAGAAATATAATTATTCATGGACATTATTCATTAAACCATTGTACCAAACACCATCATTTACTTACTGTTCTTCTGAAGTAGGGATTGGGGATTGTTCTGAAATGGCCTCATTTATTCCACTCCCACATAGACAAGATCATCTCCAAATAGTAGTTAGGTGTGTGTGTGTGTTGAGGGGGCGTGTGTCCCCATTTCATGCCCAAGATCACTCTCCTTCCCTGAATCCTCATGTCTCACCCCAAGCAAGAAGCCAGACATTACAAAATCTGTTTAGATGGCTGTCAAGAGACTGCTAACCCACCCCAGTGATCCTGCAACCGGGCACGAGACTTCATACAATTTGGGGATTCCTGATTCTGGGGGATTGCTGGCCAAGGTCAGGGACTTTTGGGAGAGAGGGGAAGGGGCTCTGTCACCTCTTTCTTGCCAATGTCACCTCTTCTTCCCCTTATGACAAGAGGAGCCGATGGCTCAGCCTAGTTTAGCAGCTTGAAAAATCCCACTTTCCTTCTTTGAGATTTCAGGGTAAGGCTGAGGCAGGGAGCTGGAAGGAGAAGCCACATGGGGAGAATATCGAGTGGCTCTGATTGGGAAGGGCTTGAGGGAAGGGGATCACTGTCATGGTGGGACTTCCTCCTCCTGCAGGCTGGGGCCCCAGTAACAGGAACACAGTATCTCTCCAGAGCCCCAGGCTCTCTGCATGCCCAGTCCTTGCTGTCTCACCCAGGGAGCCCTCAATCATTCCATCCCAACCACTTCTTAGGACCAAAGCTAGCCCAGATGTGGGGTGGGGGTTCTGAGGCTCAAAGCCTAGCAGAGTGACTGGGGACTTGAGGTCCCTCCCCTAGGGCTCTCAGAGCCAGGGTCTCACCCGCAGGGACCGTCATGGTCCCCAGGGGCTGAGCCTGTGCTGGGGACGCCCTCCTTCCTCCTGCCAGCCTAGCTGCAGAGCCCTTGAAGATGCCTTCCCTGACCATGCCTGCCCACACTTCTTCCCCCACCCCAAGTCCTAGAAACTTCTGTCCTTCCTGCGCACTTACTCAGTTATGCCCTGTGTCCTGTCCTCTCATTGTTCTACTGGATTACAAGTTAACCAGGGACGGGTCCTGTGTCTTCTCCCCCACAGAGGGGGGCACGGAGCACTGCTCCATAAATACTTGTTAATTAGGTTGCTGATTGATTGCTGGCCTCAGGAGGCCCCTCTCCACTCTGATCCACGAGTCTCAGCAGTGGCGCGTCCCTCTGCCTGCCACCTTCACACAGTGAGGGTCTAACTCCGGCAGATGGAGTGGAGTTTCTGACTTGGAAAATCTGCAGCTTGCTTGCTTTTCTTTTGTGTGTGTAAACCACAAAACCTCCAAAGAAAGAGGCTTTATTTTATTTTCCTTTCCCTTGTTCTCTGGAACCCCAGGCCCCGCGGCCTCATTAACTGATCTCTGCTTCAATTAGTGACAAATCCCCTCCCAGAGTGAGCTGTTAGGAGGAGATGACCTGCAAACAAGTGTCAGGGCCCCAGTGGTTGGCCCGGCTCTGGCATTAATTAAAACGAGTCCCTACAAGCAGGCAGCATGGATGGGGGTGCTGACAGGCCAAGGGCAGATCCCAGAGACCGAGGACAAGCTGGAAGTAGAGGCCAGGCCCTGGGAGTCGAGCCTCCTCTCTGGACCCTATGTAGCCCTTTTCCCCTCTCACTAGAGCCCATGGCCTTGGCCAGCACCCCCCAGAGTCAGGGATCCCCAGTTTGCGTATCCCCAAAGTGATGTCTCATGCTGGTTGCAGGACCACCATTGTGGGGTTAGCAGCCTTTTTGGTGAACCCTCTAAAAAGATTTGGCAATATCTGGCTTCTTGCTCAAGAATGAAAAAGAAATTTCATCGTAAGTTATTTTTGCGATCTAACAGTTGACTGTCTTTTAACAAAGAGAGCGCCCATCAGCTGGTGTTGAGCACTGTGGTCAGCCCCCACTGGGCCCTGGCTACATGAGGGTGACCCGCTCACTCCCTTCTGGGTGCATATGAGCTGGGCACTTTGCAGACACTGAGATGCAGATGCGTAGACTGGTGTGTCCTTCAAGATGCTGAGAGGGTAAGCTGGGGTACTCTGTGGTATAGCCAGAATTATGAAGGTGACCCTTGGGTGTGGTGGGACCCAGGGGAGGGGCCCCTAATTCACACAGGGCTGACTCTTATAGGGCAGACCAGAGAAAGGCGGAGGCAGGGCTGTGGATTCCAGATAGAGGGCACAGCACATGAAGAGGCAGACAGGAGAAGGAGAGCGTGACACATCCCAGAAGCTGAGAGTGGCTGCTATGTGCAGAGTGATGGTGAGGAGTTGATGATTAGGCAGGGGCCAGTCATAGAGTATTGTAGAGCCATGCCGGGAACCCCTGTCTGGGCTCAGGGACCCATGGCATTGCAGGGGGTGCAGGCAGAAGTGAGCTGGAGAAGTCGTGGGGTGTTGGCAGGCCCGGCAGATGGACGACTTTCATGGACGCAGGGTCTGGGATGAGAGTGGACTTGGGGCTGGAGAGGAAGGCTCAGGGCAGCAGTCTCGTCGGAGCTGGTTGATGGAGCCAGGGTGTGACAGTCGCTTCATGCCTGATCCTAAACCCTTCACCTTCAGCCAGGTCTTGGCTGACTGAGGACTTTCTCTTTGGGGCAACGCTGACCTCCATTCCCAAAGGGTTGAGGCCCTGCGGGGCCGGGGTGGGGTGGGGGGGCGGTTCCTCTCTGCATAGGATGCAGTGATGTCTGTGAACCTTTACTACTAGACACTGGAGTATCAGGAAGTGTCCCGGGGTTCCCTGGACAGAACCCCTTCTCCCTCAGCTCCCATTGTTTACGCCATGTCGCCAGGATTGTCAGGCAAAATCACAATGGCTAACACTTAAGGAGTGCTAGGGACTGTGTAGGTGTTCATCTCCATTTTACAGATGAGAAAACTGAGGCACAGAGGTGCAGTTAGTGAAAGCGCTGGGATTCAAACCCAGGCTTATTCACACACTATTCTGCTAACACAGGACCCCTTTTTCTTCCTGCTCCCCCTGTGGCATAAGGAGGTGGGAAAAGCCAAGCAGTATCCTCAGCTTCCAGGGTGGAGGAAGTGTTACCATGCCCCCAGGTAGACAAGGCCCTCCCCAGGTACCTCAAGAACAATGGGGACTGGAAGAAAATGTTTGAGAGGCTCCTTAGTTGTAACAGGGTTAGACCTTCTGCTCATCTTCATACTTGGTTCCTGGGCCTGTGTTTTCTGGCCAAAGTCAAGTCGGCAGCGTCTATCTGTTCGTGGTCTGCAGCACGCCCCGCCTCCTGCAGGATGCACCTAGCTGGCTCTGTGGTCCAGGGTGTATCCCAGGGTGTTTTCTGAGGTCTGGGGTGCACCTCAGGCCCTGCTGTTCTTCTCTGGGCCTGATGAAGGAAGGGGGCCAACAGCCTGAGAATCCTGGACCAGGCGATTGTCTGGCTACTCTCACTAGGAGTGGCTTCTGGGTTGGAAGGCCCATTGCACAGACCCTGTAGCAGAATCTGAAGTGTTCCAGAACCTGTAGGTAGTGGCAGGAATGTCATTCTGTACATATTCTGGGGAGGGCAAGTTATTGTCCCCTCCTATATGGAAGGGGTCTAATGTAGTTGGTTTCCCAGCAGGTGGCCAGCTGGTTTCTGGGTCATAGTTGAGGGGTCAGGTCTGGTCACTGTTGCTAACAAACAAGCCACTCAGTCGCAGCTGGAGCTGACTGGAGTTTTAGCCTGTGCATGACTCTGTCCCAGCCACTTTGGCCCTTGGCTCCTGAGCCTGTTGCCAAGCAACAGGCTGGCTGGAGTTGCTGGAAAATTAGAGGGTAATGGGCCACTTAGTTACCAAGAGTTTATTCTACAGCGAGCGCCCTCTGGTGGTCATTTTTGGTACCTCAAAGATTCCTTGACCTGCCCCAAACCTTGCACCCTCCAGGACCCACACAAACCCCTGACCATTTGGTTACGTTATTACCACCACCCAAGAGTGGATCTAAATTCTGACCTCGTACCATCCCTCCTTTCAGATGTGCCCCCTTCTCCATTGTTCTCC